TAGTTTATTAAGAGTTTTTAATAACATGAAGCGGTGTTGAATTTTATTGAAAGCCTTTTCTGCATCTATTGAGATCATCATGTGGTTTTTGTCCTTAGTTCTATGTGATGAATCAGATTTATTGATTTGTGTATGTTGAATCAACCTTGCATCCCAACGATACAGCCCACCTGATCATGGTGGATAAGCTTTTTGATGTGTTGCTGGATTCTGTTTGCCAGTATTTTATTGCGGATCAAAGACCAAACGTAAAACCCCAAACTATAAAAACCCAGGAAAACAACCTAGGCAGTGCCATCCTGGACATAGGAATGGGCAAAGATATCATGACAACAATGCCAAAAGCAAAAATTGACAAACGCAATTTAATTAAACTAACAACAAAAGCAAAAATTGACAAATGCAATGTAATAAAACTGACGAGCTTCTGCACAGCCAAAGAAACTATCAAGAGAGTAAATAGGCAACCTACAGAATGGGAGAAAATTTAGAAAACTGTGTGCATCTGACAAGTCTAACATTCAACATCTATAAGGAACTTAAACAAATTTACAAAAAAAAAAAGTAGGCAAAAGACATGAACAGACACTTTTCAAAGAAGACAGACATGTGGCCAACAAGCATGAAAAAAAGCTGAAAATCACTGATCTTTAGAGAAATGCAAATCGAAACCACAGTGAGATACTACCTAACACTCCTCAGAATGGCTGTTATTAAAAACTCAAAAAATAACAGATGTTGGAAAGGTTATGGAGAAAAAGGAACACTTATACACTGTTGGTGGTAGTTCAACCATTGTAGAAAACCATGTGATGATTCCTCAAAGAACTTAAAACAGAAACACCATTTGATCTAGCAATCCCATTACTGGGTATATACCCAAAGGTATATAAGTTGTTAAAAAGACACATGCATGCGTATGTTCAGTACAGCACTATTCATAATAGCAAAGACATGAAATCAACCTAAATGGTCATAAATGATAGACTAGATAAAGAAAATTTGGTACATATACACTAGGCAATACTATGTAGCCATAAAAATAATAAGTTGATGTCCTGTGTGGGAACATGGTCATTATCCTTAGCAAGCTAACACAGAAACAGAAAACTAAATACCATATGTTCTCACTTATTGGTGGGAGCTAAATGATGAGAACACATGGACCCATCAAGGGAAATAACAGACATGGTGGCCTACCACAGGGTAGAGGGTGGGAGGAGGGAGAAGGTCGGGAAAAATAACTAGTGGGTACTAGAATTAAAACCTGGGTGATGAAATAATCTGTACAATAAACCCCCATGACATGAGTTTACCTATATAACAAACTTGTACATGTACCCCTGAATGTAAAAGAAATGTTAAAAATAAATAAAAAATTTAAAAGATATGATTACCATCAGAAAAAAATAAAATATGATCTGGAAAACATAGGTATGGGTAGGTTAATGTGACTTGAATTAAAGCACCGTAATTGTCTGTTGGCTTAACTAATTTGTAAACATCAATTCTATGTTAGCTTAACAATAACGCACAACACTCGGACCAACTCAATTCTGTGTTTAGAATTGGAAACCAAAAAACTCATTGGAGCCAGCGGATGCATTTAGTATGCCCCCTGGGTTTCAGTGAGGAATTTTTAATGTTTGGATGCCTGTGAGACTTAGGGTGAGGTTTGATTTTCATATTTTTCCACCGACCTCCCCGTTTCTCTTACAAGTTCTGACAAATTGGGAAAACTCAGAGAATGTTTTCTCAGCTAAACAAGAAGCAAGTACCAATTTTTAAATTCAACTTTTCATTTTGAGATAATTACAGTCTCACATACAGGTATAAGAAATAACATATGGATCTCTTGAATCCTTTACCCAATTTCCCCAGTGGTAACATCTTGCAAAACTAGAATATAATATCAGGACCAGGATGTGGTCATGAATATAGTCAGATCCAGAGCATTCCATTCACTGCAAGGATCCTTCATGTTGTCCTTTTATAGCCACATCTAGTTTGCTTCCACCCCAACCTCCTCATTAACTCTTGGCAACCGCTAATCTGTTCTTCATTTTTACAAGTTTGTCATTCGAAGAATGGAATCATACAGTATATAAACATTTGAGGCTGGCTGTTTTCACTCAACATAATTTTTTAGAGATTTATCCAGGTTGTGTTTATCAGCAGTTGGTTCATTTTTATTGTTGCGTAGAATTCCTTAGTCTAGATATACTACAGTTTGTTTAAATGTTTACCTGTTGAGGGACATCTGGGTGGTTCCAGGTCTGTGCTATTGCAAATAAAGTTTCTATAAACATTTGTGTAGGTTTCTGTCTAAATATAAGTTTTTGTTTCTCTGAGGTAAATGCCCACAATTGCAATTACTGTGTCATCCGGTAGTTGCATGTTTAGTTTTTTGAGAAACTGCTAAACTTTTCTATTTTTGATTCTAACCAACTGTGTATGAGTGATTGTTTCTCTACATGCCCTCCAGCATATGGTGTTGTCCCTACTTTTTAATTTTAGCCATTTGGATGGGTTTGTAGTGATATCTCACTGTGGCTTTAAGCTCAGTTGCCCTATTGGTGAATCATGTCGAACATCTTTTCATGTGCTTATTTGCCATCTTATGTCCTCTTTTGTTCATGTCCTATGTCCATGTCCTAGATCACTTTTTCTTCTTACTATTGAATTTTGAGAGTTCTTTATTCATTCCAGATACTATCCTGTCAGATATGTAATTTACAAATACTTTCTCCTATTCTGTATCTTGTCTTTTCATCCTCTTAACAGGGTCATTCACAGAACAAAAGTGTTTAATTTTAATGAACTCTCATGTGTCAATTTTTGCTTATATGGGTCATTCTTTTGGTGTCAAGTCTAATAACTCTGCCTAATCCTATATTCTGAAGATTTTCTCCTGTAATGTTTCTCTAGAAGTTTCACATTTTACATTTTGAGTCTGCTTACATTTTGAGTTAATTTTTATATAAGACTTAGGTCAAGGTTCGTATGTGTGTGTGTGTGTATGTGTGTGTCCAATTGCTTCAGCAACATTTTTTGAAAAGGCTATCTTTCCTCCATTGAATTGTTTTTATGCCTTTCTCAAGAATCAGTCAGACTGATTATTTGTGTGGGTTTGTTTCTGGGTTGTCTCTTCTGTCCTAATTATCCATGTGTCAATCTCTCTGCCGACACCACATGGTCTTCGTTACTATGGTTATATAATTAGTCTTCCGATAAGCTGGGCTGATTCCTCTCAGTTTAGACTTCTCTTTCAAAAGTGTTTCAGCTATTTTGGGCCTTTACATATAATTTAAAAATAATTTTGTCTGTATCTGCAAACATTGAGAAAAATTGCTATCCTCTGTTGAGTTTTCTATTCCATGCCCCTGGTATACCTCTCCATTTATTTAGCTCTTCTTGGGTTTCTTTTGTCATCTACACACATCACCTCCTCTGTGTGTAGTTTTCAGCATGCAAGCCCTATACATAAGTATTTCAGTTTTGACCAATTATAGTAAGTACTGTGTTTTTAATTTCAGAGTCTATTACTAGTATATAGAAATACAGTTACATTTTTTATTTTTTTGAGACAGAGTTTCGCGCTTGTTGCCTGGGCTGGAGTGCAGTGGCGTGATCTCGGCTCACTGCAACCTCTGCCTCCCAGGTTCAAGCAATTCTCCTGCCTCGGCCTCCCACGTAGCTGGGATTACAGGTGTCTGCCACCAAGCCTAATTTTTTTGTATTTTTTGTAGAAATGGGGTTCACCATGTTGTATGTTTATCTCATACCATGTGGCCTCATTGAACTTACTCATTAGTTCTAGGAGTTTTTTGTAGATGGCTTGAGATTTTTCATAGATAATCATGTCATCTGTAAATAAGGAACAGTTTTATTTATTTTTTTCTGATATGTATGCCTTTTATCTCCTTCCTTTGTCTTATTGCACTGGCTAGAATTTCTAATACTATGTTGATTAAGAGTGGTAAGAACTGACATTCTTACCTTGTTCTCTGTCTTAGGAGAATGTGAGGTATAATGTTAGCTTTGGAATTTTTGTAGCTGTCCTGTTGTAGATGCCACCATGCCGGCCCTATATCATTATGTTTGATGTACATTTCTTCTAAATAACATATAGTTGGGTCATATTTTTAATCCACTTTATTAATCTTTGTCTTTATAATAACTGATATGTAGGGCTTAAATCTGACATTTTATTTTTTGTTTTCTGTTTGTTCTCTCTGATTATTGTTTTTTAATTTTCCTTTTCCTGCATTCCTATGGGCTAATTTAACATTTTTAGAACTCCATTTTGATTTATTTATAGTGTTTTTTGGGTGTATCTCTTTGTATAACTCTTTTGCTGGTTGTTCTAGGTATTATATATAGATGTGTATCTATCTGTTCACCTTTCTCTCTAGATCTTATCAGAGTGTTCTGGTGTTATCATTTTACCAGTTTGAGTAAAATATAGGAATTTTACCTTCCTTTTTCTTTAACTGCTCCCATTTAGAATATAATTGTTTTGGGCCAGGTGCAGTTGTTCATGCCTGTAATCCTACACTTTGGGAGACCGAGGTGGTGGATCACTTGAGGTCAGGAGTTCGAGACCAGCCTGGCCAACATGGCAAAACCCTGTCTCTACTAAAACTACAAAAATTAGCTGAGAGTGGTGGTGTGTACTTGTAATCCCAGCTATTCGGGAGGCTGAGGCACGAGAATTGCTTGAACCCAGGAGGCAGAGGTTGCAGTGAGCTGATGTCATGCCACTGCATTCCAGCCTGGGCAATAGAGTGAGACTCCATCTCTAAATAAATAAATAATATAATTATCTTAATTATTTTCTCTAAATAAATTTAGAACAACATAAGGGTTATAATTTTTGCCTCCACAAACAAATTGTATTAGCTATATTTTTGTTGATTGTGTTCTTTCTTCTTTCCTGATTTTCCAAGGTTTTTTCTTTTATCTTTTCCTTTCCATTTAGAGAACTTCCTCTAGAACTTCCTTTAATATTTCTTTTAGGGTCTAAAGGTGACAAATTCTGTTTTCCTTCATCTAAGAATGTCTTATTTCTACTTTATTCCTGAAGGATATCCACACTGGATATAGGTTTCTTTTCTTTCAGAACTAGAAAAATATTGTGCCACTTCATTCTGACATATATATATTTCCCCACTATAGGTAAGGTGTCATTTTTCTCTGGTGCTTTGAATACTTTTTTAACTCTATATTTTCAGAAATTTAATTTGGATGTGTGTTGGTATGGATTTCCGGGATTTATCCTGCTTGGGATTCACCCAGCCACTTGAATCTCCAGGTTTAGGTCTCTTGCTAAATTTGGGATGCTTTCAGCCATTGTTTCTTCAAGTACTTTTTCAGCCTCACTCTTTCTCTTCTTTCTGGAATCTGGTGATGTGAATGGTAGATCTTTTGTTATAATTCTACATGTTCCCATGATGCTGTTCTTCTTTTTTTTACAGTTTGTTTTCTCTCTGTGGTTTAGGTTGGGTTGTTTCTATTGTCCTGTCTTCCAGTTCACTCAATTTTTTTTTCCTCTGTCCCCTTTATTCCGCTTTGGAACCCACCCACTGAGCTTTTTTATTTGAACTGTTGTTATATTTTTTTAGTTATAAAATACCCATTTGGTTTTTCTTTAAATCTTTTGTATCTTTGATGAGGCTTTCTATTTTTTTTAATTGCTTGAGTTGTGTTTGTAACTGCTCACTGAAGCATTTTTATCATAACTGCTTGAAAATTTTGTCAGAAATTCTAACATCTCTATTATCTGGGTGTGTTAGTCCATTTTGTAGTGCCATAAAGAAATACCTGAGACTGGGTAATTTATAAAGAAAGGAGGTTTTGTTCAGCTCATGGTTCTGCAGGCTGTACAAGCCTAGTGCCAGTATCTACTTCTGGGGAGGTCTCAGGAAGCTTACAATCATGGCAGAAGGTAAACGGGGAGCCAGAACATCACATGGCTAGAGAGGGAATGAGAGAGATAAGGGAGTGACCAGACTGTTTTAAACAGTCAGATCTCATGTGAACTCATTACTGCAAAGAAGTCATCAAACCATTCAAGAGGGGTATTCTCCCATAGCCCAGAAACCTCCCACTGTCCTGCTTGGGATTCACCCAGCTTCTTGAATCTCCAGGTTTAGGTCTCTTGCCAAATGTGGGATGTTTTCAGCCATTGTTTCTTCAAGTACTTTTTCAGCTTCACTCCTCCTCTTCCTGGAATCTGGTGATGTGAATGGTGGATCTTTTGTTCTTTTGTTATAATTCCACATGTTCCTATGATGCTGTTTTTTTTCTTTTCCTTCAGTTTGTTTTCTCTCTGTGGTTTAGTTTGGGTTCCACCGTCATGTTTCAACATGCAAGTTGGAGGAGACAAGCGTCCAAACTGTATAACCGTGTCTTCTGATTTTTTAAAAATTCATTTTGAGTTGTTCCAGGTTTTTGGTATGATGGGCAATTTTTTAAATTGAAACCTGAATATTTTTATATTGTGAGACTCTGGACCTTTTTAAACCTTCTATTTTAGTTGAATTTTTTTGACTCCATTCTGTCAGGGAAAGGAGAGGCATCACCTCGTTACTGCTAGGCAGAGAGAGAAGTCCAGGTTTCCCACCAGGCTTCCATTAGTACCTGAAGAGGATGATGCCATCATACTGCCAGGAAGTCCAGGCATCCCATTAGGACTGCACTAACACTTCATAAGATGGGGGAGGGAGATTTATTACTGGCCAGTGGGGAGGAAAGCCCCAGCTCTTTACTTGGCACTGTCTGATACTTTCCTGGCATGGGTGTTGGGGCATCTCATTACAGTGCTTACCAGGGTGGAAGCCTGTACTCCCCATCCTGCCTTTGCTGGTGTGAGGAGGGGTGGGGGCCAAGGTTTTTTTCTGTGGCGTTTAGCTACAGTAAAGCGGTTATTCTCTAAAAGATTTTTGGCTCTCTAGGTGCTGTTTTCCTGATCCTTTGGCAAGAGAGATTATGCTTTCGTTGGGGTGCTTTATGTTTTTGATTTCTTTGTTTTTGTCTGTGCTCACAGACATTTCCAGGTTACTAGATTCTTCAGCTGCTAGGAAGACTTTCAGCAGCTGAGATATATGAGGCAAAAAGAAAACCTAGGAAACTCACCACCAGGTTATTCTTTTGATCCTCAACTCCCTAAATAGTCTACCTTTACTCTACCTTTCAGCGTCTTCTTATGTTTGTTTTATAGAAAATGTCCAGGGTTATTGGCTGTACTTAACAGAAGGACTAGAGAAAAATATATCAATTCTATGCTTGTTAGAAGCAGGGAACATCAGACATACTGATTTTCTTAGTCTGTCTAGGCTCTCCAGAAGCCACAATGCAGAGCTCTCTAGGAAAAGATGGATTGGAGAGTGGTGTCTGGAGCCAAGGCAGAAGTAGAGTCTCCTCCATTCCAGATCTAGGACTTAGGATGCACACACTCTAGTATGTGTGCAAAGCACATAAAGTTAACAATTTAGATGAAGTACACCAATTCCTCAAATCCCATAAACTATCAAAACTCACTGAAGATGAAATCGATAACTTGAATAGTTCTTACAACTATTGTTAGAAGTTGAATTCAAAGTTAAAAAGCTTCTGAAAAAAGAAATCTTCAGACCCAGATGATATTACTGGTAAATTCTACTAAACAGTTAAAGAAGAAATAGCACCAATTTTACACAATCTCTTCCAGAAATAGAGGAGGAGGAAACTTGTCAACTCATTTTATGAGGCCAGAATTATCCAAATCCAAAACTAGACAAGAACAAACTATAGACTGATACAAATGCAAAAACCTTAAAGTATTAGCAAATAAAATCTATCAGTATGTAAAAGTAATCATACAAAATAATCAAGTAGGGTTTATCTCACAAATGCAAGCCTGATTTATATCTATAAATTGATAATTTAAAATAAATTATAATCTGCCAAACTAACAGCAAAAATTGCATGAACATTAAAAAATCACATGGTCATATCAATTGATGCTTTGGCATTTGACAAAATTCAGCATCTGTTTATGATAGGAACTCTCAGCAAACTGGGAATACAAAGGAATTTACTTAGCTTTAAACGGAGTATTTTTAAAAGTCTAACCTCATACTTAATGATAAAAGATTAAATGGTTTCCCCTCAAAACTGAGAATGAGGCAGGAATGTTCACCCTCACTATTCCAATTCATGATCATAGGACAATTCCTAGCCAGTGCAGTAAAACACGAGAAAAAAAGTGCATGTAGTTGAGGGGAAAAAAGAAGTAAAACTGGCACTGCTTGTAGATGACAATGTGATTGTATAGAAAATCCTAAGGAACCTATCAAATAAAATGACCATCCCAGAACTAATAAGTGAGTTTAGCAAAGTCACAGATACAAGGCCAATACATAACCATTTTATTTCTATATACAAGCAATGAACAATTGGGAACTGAAAGTTTTAAAATACCATTTACAAGTTGTTTTTTTTTTTTAAGTGCTACTCTGTCAAAACATGTACAATATCCACATGCTAAAAAGTAGAAAACAGTGATAAAATCAATCAAAGAAGACCTAAGTAAACACATGGATTAGACAACTAACAGATTAAATCCTCAAATTGATCTACAGACCGAAGGCAGTTCCAATCACAGTCCCAAAAGGGCCTTTTTGTAGATAAAGACAGGCTGATCCTAAAATTTATATGGAAATACAAAAAAACTAAAGTACCGTAAACAACTTGCAAAAGAAGAAAGCTGGATGAATCACACTACCCAATGTTAAGATTTACTCTATGCTACAGTAATCAGTGAGCAAAAGGAAAGCAGGTAGACCTTTGGAGCACAGGGAGTCCAGAAATAGATTCATAGAAATACAGGCCAATTGATTTTTTACATAGGTGCAAAGGCAGTTCAATGGAGAAAGTTTCATCTTTACAGTAAATGGTGTTGCAACAACTGGACATGGATAGGCAAAAGAATGACCCTTGATCTAAACCACACACCTCACACACAATTTTAACTTTAAATGGATCATAGATCTAAATGTAAAAGGTAGAACTGTAAACTTTTAGAAGAAAACATAGTGGAAAAACAATTTTCTGGGATTAGGCAAAATGTTTCTAAACATGCACCAAAAGCAAGACCCATATAAGAAAGAATTGACAAATTCCTTGTATGGCAAATGACTAGCGTCCTAAATACATAAAGGACACTCTAAATCAAGTAGTAAGAAAACAACCCAATTAAAAAATGGACAAAAGACTTTAACAGACATGTTACCAAAGAGGTAATGATATCAAAGAGGATATAGAGATGGCAAATCAGTACATTGAAAGAGATCAGCAGCAGTAGCCATTAGGGAAATGTAAATTAACCATGATATCTCTGTATGCTGTTAAAATGACTGAAATAAAATATGATACTGAGTGCTGATGGTTTGAGGAGCAACTGGAACTCTCATACACTGCTAATAGGAATGCAAAATGTACAACCACTCTGGAAAACTGAAAGCTTCTTAATAAACATTTACCACCGACCCAACAATTCCACTCCAGTATCTGCTTTAAAAAGTGAAAGCATGTCCACACAAAAACCCATATACGAATGCACAGAAGCTCTATTAATAATAAAAAAAACTGACAACAACTGAAATGTCCTTCAACAGGCAAATGGATAAACAAACTGTAGTACATACTTACAATGGAATACTACTCAGCAATAAAAAGGAATGAACAGTTGATACACAGAACAATTTGGATGAAATTCAAAGGCATTAAATTGAGTGAAAGAAGTTAGACTGTATGATTCTATTTATATCAAATTCTAGAAAAGGCAAAACTATAGCGATGGAGAAGCTATCAATGGTTACCAGAGGTTTGGAGTGGGAGAAGGGTGTGACTAAAAAGGGGCAGCCCCGGGAAGTTCTGTGGGAGATGGAGCTGTTCTGTGTTCTGACTGTGGTTAATCCAATCTATACACGTATTATAATTCATTGAACTGTCCACCAAAGAAAAGGTCATTTTTAATAAATAAATAACAATACAACAAATAGCTGCTGAACTGTCCCCACACTGAATTGTGCTGAGAATTTTCTAGTTTACCTGTAGCAGCTTCACTACCATACATTTAGCCAAGTTTCCATAACAGCAGGCAGTTAGCCTTCAGGAGGGCCCATGAGTGATTTGGCAGTAGGACAGTTGCTCAGTTCAGCCATCTCTACCTTAGACATTAAGATATCCAAAATAAATGATTTTTCTGGGAAAATAAAATGTCTTTCTAAAATCTTTCCATTTTAACATTAGCATTCCACAAGTATGTGGCTAGGCTGGTGTGTATCAAATGAATTAACTCTTCCATTTGAAAATACATTGAGTAAAGCTTGTGAACAATCTCTGGCTTAGAGAGTGTTTTCACCAAACTACAAGACTGTGTTACATGTGAACATCAGATACCAGCTTAGCTCCTCCTTCCTTTTCTCCTCTGTAGGAGATTGTGGCTCACCAGATTGCTGAAAGCCGCATTGCTATTGAGAAGATCCGCTTGTTGACTCTGAAAGCCGCTCACAGCATAGACACTCTGGGCAGTGCTGGCGCTAGGAAGGAGGTGAGGCTACCCTCTCCCCTCCAACCACCAACTGCTGAGCCTTCTCCAGTTCTCTCAACCCGTTGGACATTTCCGTTTTCATGGCATCTTGATGGCACTCAGAATATTGGAAGCCCCATGTGATATCTGAGTTACAGATTATAAATGCCTGTCACTTGTCACCTAGCAAGTGCTTTAGGAAATGATTTTCAGGATGCAGAATATCTTCAGCATTCTTAAGATAGAGCAACAATGGAATGGGGGAAATCATAGGCTTTATACAGACCTGGAATTGCACCCACTCTGCCACTTTCTGCTAGCCTTGTGATCATGGGCAGAGTACTTAACCTTTCTGCCTAAGGCCTAGGGTTCTTGTGAAGAGTAACGAAGATGATGTACGTAGAATATGCATAAAGTGAGTCACAGTGGCTCTCGCCGGAATCCCAGCCACTCGGGAGGCGAAAGTGGGAGAACTGTTTGAGGCCAGGGATTTGAGACCAGCCTGGGCAACATAGTGAGACCCTGTCTCTTAAAACAAATTAGCCAACGTGGTAGATGTCTGCAGTCAGGGAGGCTGAGGCAGGAGGATCTCTTGAGCCCAGGATTCTGAGGCAGCAGTAGTGAGCTGCAATCATGCCTCTGAACAGCCAGCCGCTGCACTGCAGTCTGGGTGACAGAGTGGGAGCCTGTCTCAAAAAACAAAACAGAAAAGAATGCACAGCATGATGCTGCTACACAGACAATGTTTCATAAAAGAGACCTCTCATCCTCTGCTTTCTTATGTTTCTGTCTTATATGAAATAAAGACCTAATCATTTAATTCTAAAAGCCCATAAAACTGCTAACAGAAAACTAATTAGTGGGACAAAGACCCTTGGACAATTTTTATGATCCCTAAGGTGATAAATGTGATTTATCAGCTGCCTGAAATCCTTTTGGAAACAAGGCAAGTTATAAATAAACGAATGAAATGTAATTTGGAAGAGGTGCCTCTTTCCAGAGGGTCTGTATTGACTGAAATATGGCCATTAACTGCACTGCTGCAGGATCTGTTTGTTGGCTTTCATTAAATATCCTGTTTTAGTGGTCAGTTGGGTGTGGGAAAGTTCCCTTGTTCATTTCCCAGTTTTGCCACATTGTGTATAGTCTAAGAAAGAAGCATTCTTTTCATATCTTGCTTATGTAGATTGCAATGATCAAAGTGGCTGCCCCACGGGCTGTCTGCAAAATCGTTGACTGGGCCATCCAGGTGTGCGGGGGTGCTGGTGTTTCCCAGGATTACCCTCTGGCCAACATGTGAGTAGATGTAATTTAAGAATCATCTACATTGTATAGGCATGGAGGTAAAAAAAATTCTATAGATGACTTGACATTAATTGGTTAAAAGAAAATAATTTATTTTCAGTGTAATTGAAAGCTACATGAAGTGATATATACATACTTTAATGTAGAGCTCAACATCAAGAAATAGTTGTTCTTATTATTACAATAATCATTTCATTCCATTATTACAATAATCATTTCATTCCATTATGTTAATTTTTACACTGAGGGGACCCACTGAGGATCCCAGGGCTGTAGATACAGCACGGGGGGTTGCTGAATTTATTGCAGTACATGTCAGCGACTATTTAATATCTAGATTCTGATTACTGGGAGGCAGGAAGGAACATTCTCCATTCCCCATCTGTCCATTTCCACACATAATTACAGTGTCACCTTTTGTATCACACTGGAGATAGAGCCCCATCCTTCATCCGTGTTTAACCTTAAGAAAGAACTAAATATATAATGTCATACCATTCAGTGCCTGTTCTAAGTTCTAGCAACTTCTAGAAAACTGTAGCAAACCAAGAATGAGATGAACTCCACTGTACTTTGCCATTTAATGTTCCCAAGTTGGGAACTTTCAGATGGCATTTCAGAAGACCTTTGGCTTTTTTGCCTTGGTTTCCCTGGTACTCTTTTTCTTATCCTAACCTTGGTGGGATTTAAGAATTAATACAGTCTTGGTTTACAGTCAGAGTGACTGATATCAAAGTATCATGTTCCTCTTCCATAGCTCCCAATGATCCCTGCTTCTTTTGTTTTTTCAGGTATGCTGTAACCCGAGCCTTGCGTATAGCAGATGGACCTGACGAAGTTCACCTTTCAGCAATTGCAACAATGGAGCTGCAGGACCAAGCCAAAGAGCTGACAGCCAGGATGTAAGGAGAGCGGCGCTGCCACATCCCACAGCAGAAACTCTCCTTTACACAAACTGCATTGGCTCCAATATTTGAATCTCATATTTTTTTCAGCAGTTTGAGCACAGGATTAATTATTCATGTGTGGTAAAGATTTTAGCATCTATTTTGATTGGTGGGTTTTATTATTTCAAGGGTTAAGTTTAATAAGAAATGCTATAGCTGTTGTCATTCAATCTAATGCCTCCTTGAGGCCAGGAGTTCGGGCAGGACCAACCTGGGCAACATAGTGAGACCCCATCTCTACAAAAAATTTAAAAATTAGTCAAATGTAGTCCTAGATACTTGGGAGGCTAAGGCAGGAGGATTGCTCGAGTCTAGGAGTTTGAGGTTACAGTGAGCTATGATCATGACATGGCGCACCAGCCTGGGTGACCGATGGAGACTCTGTTTCTAAAAATAAAAACAAATAAAAAATACATTTCTTCTTGGGGTGGGGTGGAGGTAGGGAGCAGGAATTTGACCTGGACTCTGATCCTGGTGTGTTGTGTGGGCCTTTTTAACATTTGCCACCGAGCCTTAATCTCACTGTACCTCACTTTACTTTTCATGTATTGCTGTTAATATTTTAATCTTAGAGGATCCTGACCTACTGAGGGTTTGCCATGTAGAAGCACCTTGAAATTCGTGAAACCACAATAAAGTACTTTACAAAATGTATCCTTATTTAAAGTGGATAAATTTTATAACTCAAACTATTTAACCTTTTGATTAATTTTAAAAGTTGTGATTTAGAAGACAGGATTGTTTTTTGACATTTAGAATTAAAGGCTATGTCTGGTCCTTATAATTTGGTAATTTGTTTCTCTGTGTGAGTAAAGCTGGCTGAATTGCTTGCTGATTTGTTTTAGTTAATCTATTGTCGTGTATCTGGCCATCCCTAAAGTAAGTCACTCCTGAATTTAGTCAGATAACATCTGGTTAAAAAGATTGGCAAAGTTTGTTTTGAAATGGAAAAAAGTCTTCAAAGGATAAAGTGAGATCAGTTTCAGGGTCAGTGCCCAGTCCTGGTGAGTGAATGGGCCAAAGGTAAACGCCTCAGCCTTGTGGCCATTTCTAAGGCTCTGTCTCCTTAGGCTGTCACTGGGAGTCACTAAGCAGCCGTTTATCTGGGACAGTCTACCAGGCTTGCCAGGTGTTCAAAACCGCATAGTTTTAAAGTGAGAAACTGCCCTTTCTGATAACCAGATAGCAGGGACGAGTGGAGGGGAGAGAGCTCACCAGTCAGAGCTCTGTGGTGAAGAATGCTCCAAGAATGCCAAGTGGTCAGCGACAGAGGAGGAAAGTCTCAAGGAGTATCCTTGAGACTGCTGGATAGGGAAGACACCATGAGGCTCCACACAAAAAGATCTCGGTCTTTCTCCAGCAAAACATTTAGGGTGTGTAGGGGGTAGCTGCGATTGTCCAGGGGAAGAGCCAGCTA